TAGTTTAGCATCATTCCAAAATTGGGAGGGGGGATTTCCAATGCCTTGACAGGCACAATATAGCCACTGTGCAGATCCTGTAAAAAATTGCTACAAAGGAGATTAAGTAAGCTTGGACAGTGGAAAGAGTTAATTCAGCAGTCACAAAAGGTTCTGACTTAATATGCAGTTCTAAAACTAGACCATATAGGTCAAAACCTTTCTCAGAGTTAGCCCACCACATGTGATAAAGGTCCCTCTGTCACAGCCCCTTAATCACAAAAAAAAAAATGTTTCAAGTCCAAGTACTTAAGGCCACTTTCTCTGATAGTTCTACAGGTGGATACCTTGCTATTGACCATAACAATTGCAGTCCAATATCTTTTTGGTTATCTGGCAAAGTTGCTTAAAGGGACAGTATAGTCACCAAACAAATTTAGCTCAATGAAGCAGTTTTAGTGTATATACCATGCCCCTCTAGCCTCACTGCTTAATTCTCTGTGCTTTGGGAGTTAAATCACTTATATTGTCCTAGACACACCTCCCTGCATGTAACTTGCACAGTATTCTTAAACACTTCCTGTAAAGAGTCATCTCATGTTTACACTTCCTTTTAATCCAAATTATGTTTAATTTTTTTTTTTTTTTCAATTTGACAATTTTTATTTTCCAAAGTGAATGGGGGGGTACAGAATGAAAAAAGGGGGAGGGGATAGAGTCAGTTATACAATCAAATATACAATACAGTTGCTATGTGTAGCATGTACGAGTTGACATTTCTTGTGTACAAAATTACCGTATCACTGGTGGGTGGTGTTATTCCTGGTGTGCGGTGATGTTATTGGTCAATCATTGCATAACACAAAGGCTTTAACAAGAATATATATATATGTCAAATATTTTACTGGCTGTGGACGCATAGGACCTACAATGCGACTAATGCGGAGGTAGGCGTGTGTATGCACTAGGCATTAGTCTATGCTCTGTTCCCTATAACCATTATTCCATAGTCAGCCGGCTACTTTGTCTAATTGGGTAGGTCCTAGGCTCTTGTTATGCTTCCTATTTCTGCATTGCGGTGTTTGCATATACTCGACTCTGTCAGGGTGAGGGGGGGGGGAGGGGTGTGGTGCGGGGGTCTCTCAGAGGTGGTATTCTCTTGTGCTATGGGGAGAATGGTTCACGTTGGAGGATGGTCAGTGTGCTGTTTCATGGGGTGTCGTCTTGTGTGGGCGTGGGTAGACACTCTTTAGGTGCTGCTTGTGTTGTGTGGTTGGACAGGAACTCCATCCACATGACATGAGCTTGTTTCAAGTGTTTTTTAGTTCCAAATTGGTTCGCAAATGCTGTTTCATAGACCCAGTTGAGTGACACCTGCTGTATATGGAGTCCCCTGGATGGGATTGCTACCTGTTTCCAAAACCTTGCGATAAGTGTCGCCGCTGATATTAATACGTGATACATGGCAGTCCACGTGGCCTTGGCAGTCCCATCTGGGGGGATGAATAAAATGCAAAGTTCTAGGGTGAGGGTCACCTGAGTACGTACAATGTTTGATATGACATTTTGGACTTCGTGCCAGAAGGGTTTGATATTTTCACATGTCCACCAAACGTGTGTCATGGTACCCCTTTGGTGTCCGCACCTCCAACATTTGTCTGTGGATTGCGGCCACATGTGGTGGATTCTGGCTGGAACTAGGTACCATCGGTACAGCAGTTTGCGCTGTAACTCCAGATGGGTAGCACAGGAAGTTATTCCCCTATGTGAGGAGTAGGCCTTGTCCCATTTGTCCTTTGTTATGGATCTACCTAGTTCCGAATGCCAGGATTGTATATGTGTATCATTGGGTGTATCTGCCTTCTGTAGTAGTAGGCTGTAGTTTATGGATATTAGTTTTTTTAGCGGTTTTCTGTGCGTGCACAGAAGTTCAAATTCAGATAGGTGCTCTCGGGCGTTATTGGCGCTGGGTTTGTTCTGAGATAGGCATGATTTGATCTGCAAGTAAGGGAAAATCAGTCTGGAGGAAAGATTGTATTCCCTCTGAATGTCTGGGAATGGGCGGAGTTTACCTCCCTCATACAGCTGTCCCACTTCAGTTATCCCCCCTTGTTGCCATGGTTTTTTGTCCCATGTTGGTATTAGGGTGGCCAGGACTTCTAGCGGGGTAGCTAGAGGCACAGGGAGGTAATGGACTAGGTGGTGCCTAGAAGCGTCCCAGTGGTGCAGTATGTGTTGCGTTGTGGGTAGTAGCTGCGTGGTGTCCTGTCTATGGGGCTTTGGAGTCCAGAACATTGTTTGCAGCGTTGACGGTGCCGCCCAGTGGTTTTCTATGTGGAGCCACTGTGGTGACGTTGGTTGTGGTCTTAGTTGCGGCACTATTGTTAGTGCCGCCGCTCTATAGTATGCAGTTATATCAGGGAGACCTAACCCACCCTGTGTTTGGTGCCTTTGTAGGAGTTTTGTCGCAACCCTAGGCTTCTTATTACTCCATGTGAAGGTTATTAGTTGTTGCGAAAGTGATTTTAGGAAGGTTCCTGGGATGGGGATTTGCAGTGTTCTGTATAGATATTGCAGTTTCGGTAATAGGGACATTTTGATGGCCGCTATGCGGCCCACCCAAGACAAGTATTTCCCCTCCCATGACTGTAGTGTGTTTTTTAGGGCGTAAGCTAGGGGTATGTAGTTGGTTTTGAACAGTGTGGCGGGGTTTTTTGTCATTTTCACTCCCAGAAAGGTTAGGTAGTCATCCCTCCAATCTAGGGGGAACGAACCCTTAAGGAGCGCCATGTGTTTGTTGGGTATGTTGATCCCCAATGCTTGTGTCTTAGAGACGTTCAGTTTGTAGTAGGATAGGAGGCCATATGTTGTGATGTGTTTCATTAGGTTTGGCAGGGATATTAGTGGTTGCGTTAATGTGAGAAAGACATCGTCAGCGAATATACTCAGTTTATATTCCCGTTGGTGCAGGGATACTCCGTGTATGGATGCGTCTGCTCGTATTCTAGCTGCTAGGGGTTCTAGTGCCAGGACGTAGAGTAGTGGGGATAGGGGACATCCCTGTCTAGAACCATTGGTGATTGTGAACTTGTCAGAACAAAATCCCGCATTTAACACTTTTGCTGTTGGACAGCTGTATAAGGCCTCCACTATGTTGATAAAATGACTAGGGAAGCACATTCTCATCAGGACTCCTTTCAGGAATCCCCAATTTAATCTGTCGAAGGCCTTCTCTGCATCTAAGGACACGAGAAGGCCTCCCACGTTCGACCTCCGTATAGTGTGTATGAGGTTCAGTACTTTTCGGGTGTTATCTGCCCCTTGCCTCCCTGATACGAACCCTACTTGGTCGTCGTGTATCAGGGAGGGAAGGATGGTGCTCAGCCTCTTGGCATAGACTTTCGCTAATAATTTGGCATCTGTGTTGAGTAGCGATATGGGTCTGAAGTTGGGGCAGTGTGTTGGGGGTTTACCTGGTTTCGGGAGCGATATAATATGTGCTAACAACAGCTCCTCAGGGAGCTTTTTCTCCTGGACAGCTGAGTTGAATAGCTGGGCCAGGGGGTTTGCAAGGGTTGATTTGAATTTTTTGTAATACAGGTTTGTGAACCCGTCTGGGCCCGGGGCTTTGTTGGTGGGAAGGGACTGTATGGCTTCCTCTACTTCTGTGTTTGTGACTGGATGCTGTAGTGTGGCCACCTGGTCTGCGGTGAGGGTCTGTAGTGGAGTGTCTTGAAGGTAGGTTGTGATTTCCTGGTTATTCGGTACATGCAGTTGATTTGAGTGTGCTAGGTTATACAGTTGCCGGTAGTAGTTTGCAAACGCATTGCTTATATCTATGGGGGATACAACCTTTGTGTTGTTGGCTGTGTATACATATGGTATTTTGGCGTTTGCCTCTACTTTCTTCAACTTAGTTGCTAGTATTCTACTGGCTCTGTTGCCCTGGGTGTAGTGTGTGGCTTTCAGTTTTCGGAGGTTGTATCCGACTTGTTGCAGAGTGTGTGTTTTAATTTTTTCCGATATGTCCTTAATTCTTTGTTGTGTGTCCGCAGTTGGTTGGGCTTTGTTTTTGTGTGTGAGGTCTGACAGCTGTTTGTGCCCGGCTATCCAGCTGGCTCGCCATGTTTTTTGCGTGTGAGAGGCCTGCTTGATGAGAAGCCCTCTGATTACAGATTTCTCCTCCAGAGAGGTTGGAGTGGGGGGAGGAGAGGGGGGGGAATAGGGGGAACTGTGCCGTGAGTGGACGGTTAACAAGAAGAACTGTAATACAGCCCGGTTTAGGGCTACGTAACTGTACAGTAGTACCATGTGGGAGCGTGGTACTTAAGAGTTTGGAATAACATAGGTAACCCGGCCTAATTGTCGCTGTGACCACATGCTCGGTGTGAGTGGTGCTTGACCCCTTCTTAGCCCGGTGTCTCTGGGCATCTATTGGGGTTGTGTGGGTCGTTTGCGACATCGTTTAGCCTTAACCCTTCCCTCCTCTTAACAATATGCAACATAAAATAACCGTAACATTAACAGTGGGTTCTGCCGGATCGGTTCTCCAGCCGGAGTGTTAGTGTGTGTGAGCCAATGGAGTGTGGGGCGTTTGAGTTCCGCTTCCGCGGGTACATAGTGATGTATGTCAGCGTGCATGAGTGTGTGAGCGGTGTGTGGTTTGCGTATGGGGTATCGCCCCAATAGACTTACAACGGTTGGTCTGCATGTCTCCTATTAAAGTTCTGCATGTGGCGTTGCACCGTCATAGTCCATGGTTGGTGCTGCAATTCCATCACGTTGTGTTGGCTCAAAGTTCGTGTTGGGTAGAGTCCGATTAGGCAGTAACTCGTCGGGGGGAGGTTGGTGTAGTGAGTCTGAGGTAGACTTCTCCCGGTTCGGGTGGGTCTCTTCCTCGCTCAGGTGCGTGCTTTCTTCCATTCAGGCTGGATTTTGGTGGGCTGTGTCTTGCTGTTTCCTTGTAGTTGCGTTTGGATACCCCATCTTTTCAGGGTTTTCCGTCCCTCGTCTGGGGTGGTGATGGTGTGGATTGCCCCATTCCTGTGCACCAGTAGACGAACCGGGTGGCCCCAGCGGTATTGTACCCCCTGTTGCCGCAGAGCATCAGTGACCTCTTTGAACTCTCTCCTCTTCTGCAGGGTGAGAGCGGAAAGGTCTGTATAGATTTGTATTGCTTGATATTTCTCAGGGAGGTGTTTGTTTTGTCTGGAAGCTTTCATCAGAGCCTCTTTAGCATGGAAATAGTGCATGTGGGTGAGGATGTCTCTGGGGGCTTCCTCCGGTAAAAATTTCGGTTTAGCGACTCTGTGTGCCCTGTCCATAAGCAGGACATCCGCAGGTAAGTCAGGAGCCAGGATTTTGAAATACTCAGTGAGATACGCTGTTATTTCTGGTTGTTTCACCGATTCAGGTATGCCTCTCAGGCGTATGTTCTGCCTTCTGGACCTGTCTTCGAGATCCATAAGTTTTGTTTGGCAGGATTCCAGCGTGTGTTCTATTCTTTGGACGTGATCCGCCATGTCATTGTGGGCCTCCGCATATTCTCCCATGCGGTGTTCCATACGGGCTGTCCGCTCCCCTAGTTCCTGGACATCCTTCCATAGGTCAGCTATGGAGCTGTTAAAGTTTTTAAGCAATCTGGATGCCATCTCCTCCAGGCATGTTTGCAGAATTGCCTGTGTTACTGGCTGGTCTCTGGAGCCTGGGGAGTCCTGCAGCGGGATGGTATCGTCGCCATCTTGCTCCTCCTCGACGGGGATCAGGGTTTTAGGTGTCTGGTTGCGGGCCGCAAAGGTTTGTCCCCTTTCTCGCAGGGCTTCTTCCCCTTATGTTGGGCCATCGTGGGGGTGTGTTTGTGGGGGGTTTGCTGGTCTGGATCGCTGTGATAGTCGCTGATTTAGGCCGGTTATGGACGGAGCGTTACTCACATGCGACCATTAGTCAGGCCACGCCCCCAAATTATGTTTAATTTAGACTTTCTTATCTCCTGCTCTGTTAAAAGATTGGTAGTACCTGCAGGAGTCTCCTATATGTATTTAAAGTTCACTTTATTAGTAAGTTACATCTGATTAAAAATGAAACCATTTTGTTTTCATGCAGGCTGTGTCCATCACAGCTGGGGGATGTGTGGCTAGGGCTGCATAAACAGAAACAAATGTGATTTATTTTACAAATTGCAGAGAATTGAGCAGTGAAACTGCAGAGCCATGATCTATACACAAACACTTCTTCATTAAAGGGACTCTCCAGTGCCAGGAAAACAAATCTGTTTTTCAAATCTGTTTTCCTGGCACTGCAGAATGCTGCAGTGCCCCCCTCCCTCACACTCCCAATCCCATGTTGCTGAAGGGGTTAAAACTTCAGTGACTTATCTGAATCCAGCGCTGATGTCCCTCGGCGTCGGGCCAGGCTCTGCCAGGCTCCTCCCCTGCTGAAGTGGAAGTAGAAGGTACAAATGAATAACATGCCTGGTTTTGAAACCTGGAGCTACAGGAGTAAAGGAGTACTAACTCTGTTTTAAATGTTCACATAGCAATTGCTGCCAACAGAAATCTTCCATCTTGAAATATATGCTTGAAATCTTGAAATAACTATAAAACATAAATATCTTGAAATCTTGAAATAACTATAAAACATAAGGAGGTCAGAATGGCCTCCAAAGAAAAAAAGGGAATTGGTGGCACACCCGAAACATGTATTTCTTAGAACTGTTGCTGCCATAAGGGCCACAATTTATATAAAAGACAGATTAAGGAATAGTGCACACAAAAACATACAATTGTAAATTTTACAATGCTACTTTGTTTGCTAGGATGGCCTCCAAAGACAGCGGTGTCCTTTTTCCGACACAAATACATTTAGATATATGAGTAAAGTTCTATTCAATATGCAAAAAATGAAATTTAATAGAATATACACTTGATATCTAAATTCATATATCTACACATAATAATCATACAATGCATGAAAATTCATCAAAAAATGGATGATAAATCATTTATCCCATAGATACTGTATTGAAATGGGTTCCTGAGAAAATTCATCTATGTTACAAATCTAACCACACGTCCTAGGCTATGCATAGCAATCTATTTGTCTAATATATTGATGGATCCAATCCTTACAAGAAATAATGTATATACAAAAGAACAAAAAATGTATATAGTGCAACCAATCTGGAAAAGAAGAGCAAAAAAATATATAATAAAAAGAAAAAAGGAAAAAGAAAAAAGAAAAAAAAGAAAAACATAAAAAAGGTGAAAAAAGTGAAAAAAAGTCCTTTATAAGTTCACTATATACGTATACAGTGTAAGTATGGTTGGATCTCACCACTTGGGATGTTGCAGTCAAAACTTTAAACGTGCACTGTAAGTATTCCACTGACTGGAGAGATATCTGAGGGATAAAATTACCCCAATGGGCCTCAGATTCTCCAAAACTCCTACATTTGAAAATGAGAAAAATAAGAAGCATGTAAATATGTGGAATGATGCTCTTGAAAGATTTTCAATGGAGATGATGAACATAGTTATACTATGTAGAAGTGAAAATCTGACAGATTTAGATAAAGAGGTTAAGGAAATCCAGAAAGTTTTAGAACCAGCAGTTGAAACTAAAGATTATGAGGAACTAACTAAATCTACTAAAGCTAACCTAAATAAATTTGAAGAACAGGTAAAACAAATGAAATACAAAAAGTATAAAAGAGACATGGATGATTATAAATATGAGAAGGTTAGGAATTACCATCAGAAAAACTATATGGATCGTGAAAATAATGAATACAGCAGTAGGAGATCAAATAATTATGGATATAAACATAATGGATACAATAGAAGAAGAATAGACAGTTACAATACCCCTAAACGTGATGCCCCTAAGTGGAGAAACTCAGATGCAAATAACGGAAATGAGTGGAAAAAAGTGGAACCTCGCAATAGGTACTATAATAGATCAGAAAGAAATAGAAGTCCCTTATACAAAAATAGAGATTTGAAATTATCAAACAGATATGAGGTTTTATCACGAGACCAGTCAGATTTTAGACAGAATGATTTTTTAGTGAAGACGAGGGGAAAGGTTTCTTTTTCCCCCCTGAAAAGAAGGAGAGACAGAGAGGATGCAGAGGAGGAACAAGGTTACAACAGCGAAAAAAAAGGAAGAATGTCCAATTGGAGGGAGTAATTAATCTGTCCAACTTTGTTCCGAATAATGATGAAATTAGAACTCTCAATAAGGGTTTGAAATTTGCCCCCAGTAGAAAGTTTAATTCCTTTTCAGCATACATTGACATATTAAAATATTCTAGAACACTTACTTTAAAAAGGTTTTTGAAATTAACATATATACAGATGTTAAGAAAAGTGATAATCATACTGTTCTAAAAAATAAATCAAACTTTTATCCAAGAAATTATCGAACTAGTGCTATAGATATGTTTGAAAAATCGGTCATTGAAGATTTTGATAAATTAGGGAAATGTAAGCAGAAATGTGATTTGAACTTAAGCTAATATGAGCATAAGGCCCTACAAAATTTGAGAAAGTATAAAGAAATAATAATAAAGCCTGCTGATAATAACAGTATAATAACAGTATAATAACAGTATTGTGATCCAAGATACCTCTAGTTATTTAAAAGACTGTCATAGACAATTGGAAGATAAAAAGATATATAGGATATTGGAAAGGGATCCAATCACAGAGATTAAAACATCATTAGAGACCGTTTTGAAAAGGAGTAGAGAAGAAGGAATTTTAAATGAAAATGAATATAAATTTTTATTAGTCGAGTTTCTCAGAGTGCCTGTATTTTATACCTTGCCTAAGGTACATAAAAATTTAGAAAACCCTCCAGGTAGGCCGATCGTGTCCGGCATTGGATCTATTTCAGCCAATCTTTCTAAATATGTAGATATTTGGCTACAAGACTTAGTTAAAATATGCCATCATATCTTAAGGACACTACAAACGTAATAAAAATGATAACAAACATAAAATGGGAAAATGGTTACTTTTTGGTAACCTCGGATGCAACGGCACTTTACACTTCCATTTCTCATGATAAGGGGTGTAAGGTAATTTTACTAAGGAACATATTCTAATTTTAACTGACAGCATCAAATGGATTTTAGAAAATAACTATTTTAATTTTAACTCAAGATTTTATTTACAATTACAAGGTAATGCTATGGGGACCAGGTTCGCCCCCAGTTACGCTAATTTATTTATGTCAGGCTGGGAAACAGAAGTTATTTACACCAGCCAACACTGGGGGACGAACCTGGTCTCCTACCATAGATATATAGATGATATATTTTTTACATGGAGAGGCACACAATTGGATTTAGAGCTTTTTTTAGAAAATATTAATGTAAATGAGTGGGGTTTAAACTTTAGTAGCTCTTTTAACAACCATAGTATTAATTTTTTAGATTTAGAAATCTATGAGGAAGCAGGT